ACTAATTAAAATTATTTTATGTGTCAATAATATTGAAATAAATATCAAGTTTTATAATTTTTTATATAAATTAATTATAAAAAATTATATTTATTATATTTTTAATTTGTATATTTAAATTGCCAATTAGATAAATATTATATACATCGGTTTGAGTGGTTTTGTTGGTTTTGAACGGTTCAACCTCTCTATTGGTTTCAAACACTTAACCGACCCGTTTATGATACTGGGTGCCGGTCTCACCGGTTCGACCAGCCGATTTGGTCCGATTTTTAAAACTTTGCATAAACCAGTACACAAAATCTTAAAAGTAAAGTTTAGAAATTTATTAAAAATAAAAGGGCTTAATCTAACAAATCATCTATTAACTTTCATATCTTTTTCAATTTCATCTATTATTTTTGGATTCTTCCAATCCTGTCTACTATCTTTCAGACTCATTTCAATTTCATCTAGTCCGTTATCTTTAACATAAATATTCTTATTCTTCAAGAGAATAGTTACTCCTCTAACTATATTTGTTTTGATCTTTTACTCCTTTAATTTATATTTATCTTAAAAATAGCTTTTATTCTTATCTTGCTAAATTTTTTAATTCTTCTAGAGCTGAAGCTCTACCAATTTTATAAACATATCTGTCCCATAGTAACTCATTAGTCATATAGGGTATCATTCCTTCTTTAGCTATAATTTTTATTATAATGTTCATCTGTTGATCATAAAATCTTAATAACCTTCTTAATTCCATTCTTAAAAACATTTTTCTTTGGTCCTAATACTAGATTTTTCTTATAGGTTTTCGAAACCTAACTCAAACTACTATGGACTAATGAATAGTTGGTATGTTAAGCTCAGTAAATGCATAATTATATCTATTAGGTAGCTAACAAAGATAATCTTTGTTTAGCATTTTTAATCTTTTTAGATCTTCATTTAAATCTGTTGCAGTTCGCTTCAATTTTTTGAGATTCTTATATAGATGATAATCATCTTCAATATTATTTATTTTTTCTAAAATTTTTACTATTTTATTTCTATAATATTTGTATTGCTCCTCATAAACTATCTTATCTACAACAATTTTTTGACTGAAATCAAGCATCTTAGAGTATAAAGAGTCAATATAAAAATGGACATATAAAAATGGACTTTTTTATTCAAAATATAAGAGGTCAGGTACTATTTCCCTTTTCTAATCTCAAAAATAATCTAATGTTAAAGAATAATAAAGCAATTTCTATGCCCACCTTGATTCAGCATAATAAAATAAATAAGTTGGAATTTACCTTGAAGATTCTTTAGTCTAGCCTTCAGTCAAGCTAGTGCTTCCTTCGTCCAACACTCAACACCAAACTCAGGCTTACAATGGGTAATTTGGACAAGACAAGTGACTTTACTATTGCTTAGGTTTTTTCAAGGATTCTTCTCATAGTATTTTATGATGGAAATAAAGAAGGATAGAAACACAAGAATTATTCTAAAATATGATTTTATTTTTGAGAAGAGAAAGGGAAACTTTCCCTCCCTCTTGAAGGGTGCTTATAGGTGCATGGTAAAAGGCTCTTTTCAGGTAAGGTATTTGGATGTTCAAATGCCCAATACCTGTTATAGCTTATAAGAGGCTTTTTATATCGCTCCTTAGAATCTTTCCTTCCATCATTGTTGACGTTTAGATTTACATTATTGTTTGGTGGTCCAGACTTACTTCTTGCATTTGCTAAAGCAGATTACATGGGATCTTGCCGACACTCTTCTTTTTTCTTTAGTGACATAAGAGCTTACGTCTTTTTGCGTAGGATTCTTCAGAGGATGATGAGATCCTCTTCACTATCTAAGGGAGTGGTCCCTTCGTCACATGGGGCTTCAACTTTTCCTTTTGCAGATTCTTTTTTGTAACAAAAACCGTAATGATTGTAATGCTTTAACAGCTTGCATAGTCTATTATGGACTGCTTTATTGGTTAAAACCAAATTTCTACTTTATTTTGAACAGGCTAATGCTTGTCATTAATCTTGCACCAGTGGATACTACCAAGATTTCTTTGGAGAAGCCATATGTCCATGTCTTCCTTAACGCTATCATTCTATCAAAAGTCTAGAGTAAAACCTTGAATCCTAGTGCTCGTCTTTCTTGGATGAACTCGATCCCACAAAGAG